CCATATTTGTGCCATAAATTCACATGAATCACTAGGCATCAAGTATTCTGCAACACTGACTTTATGCCCCAGATTATTTAAGAATTTGTGAATAGTTATTAAATCTTACATGACAAGCAGTATTTTGTTTATCTGGAAGCAAGTGCTATTTCACTAATTTGAGATTTGTTTACTACACGTCTTATCACAGTCATTGGTGCGGTGTTGATCAGAAAATACACTTTGGTGGTAAAAATAATAATTAGATACAGGCGAGTGATACACTACAAACACTTGATCCTTGTGCAGAATGTATAGGATGATTTAATCTTTTTCTCTTGTTAAAACTGCATACAGGTGAACCTTGAGCTGTGAGTACTTCATACATTTTCATCCAAAGCATAATCTGAAACTACATGACTATTGTTGTTGTGGAGAAAATAATGACATACCAAATTTGTCAAGTTTCGATCAGGGTAGCTCATGAAGGTTTGAACAACTTTCACTGAAAATTTAAAATGTTTTGTAAAAAAATGTTACAGACATCATAATTGTAATATACTGATACTTTGTTTCTAGGCGTGTACAGAGAGCATGATGCCTGCTGGCAGTAATGGGAAAACTGATATGTTTCCTGATTTGCCATTCACTTTAAAAATGAGAGATGAATACTGTGAAAAGAAATGGAATATTGTACCACGGAATGATTGGTTAAATGTCCACCTTTGGGGAAAAGGTAATTGTTTATGAAATATTATACCATGTATATCAATGATATAATGATTGGTTGAATATCCACGTTTGGAGAAATATTAATTAATTAAGATATATCATATATGTCATGTAATGTTTAGTAAAATGTCCACCTTTAAGGAAAGGTCATACCATAGATAACAAAATGATTGGGCAAATTATTTAAGATATATATCAGTGTCTTGTTTTAAATCATCCTCTATATCAGCTATTTGAAAATTGATTGTTTTTTATGCCTCAAATAGTATATTAACTGATCGATCAACTTTTACACAGTCACAACAAATTACATTACCTTGACAACTTATGTAATCAGGTTCTGTCCCAATATTGAATACTTGCTTAACAGCAGTGTAACCTTAAAGTCATTATAATATTTAATTATATTATGGGTAATGGTAACACTACCATAATGTTTGCAGTCAGATAGCACCATGTTTCAATCAAATTAATGTTGATTTACAGCCACATGATTGACTGATTTTATGTTTGTGAAATTACACTTACATTATGTACCTCAGATTGCTGTACATGTAATGTATGTTTTATCATCTATTCTGTCTGTATATATTTTCTCTTTCTGTAGATATACTAACTGCAAGTAATATTGTGTTTGCTAATGGTAGTTTGGATCCCTGGAGGAGAGGTGGTGTACTGTCTTCACTATCTGACTCATTGATTGCTGTTCTAATTGATGGTGGTGCCCATCATTTAGATCTGAGGTATTAACCTTTTATGGCTATTGATATGATTGATTGTGTCTGTTGCACAGATGACAGGTGTGTCAGGTCGTTCACACATATGTTTATCCCCCAAAACATAGTAGTTATGTGCTCATTAAAATATACAGGCTAATTATTATCTTAAAATGTTGATTTTCATATTGAATTCGTTCATCCAATACCAATATTAGAATGTCTGCTTATATACAGTTCAGAGATTATGCCAGATCTTGTTTATAAATATAATTTAGGCAACTATTTTGATTTGCATGTAATATACTAACAGAATTTCATGAATGAAATTGCTGTTAATAAAACCAAATAATGTTTTATCCGATACTATGCCATTACATGTTTCTTTACATTACATGATATACATTATTAAGTATTGATGTGAAATGCACATCATGCAATATTGAATGTACATGATCTCATATAGAATGGTCAACAAATTATTATTGCACATATTGTTAGATGGCTTTCCCTATTTCCCTAATTATAATTAATAGTATTATATATTTTGTTTTCCTATTTCTTTCAGAGGAGCTAATCCTTTAGATCCTCAATCTGTACTAAATGCACGACAAGAAGAAGTAAAATACATACAGAAATGGATTGAGCAGTTCTAATAATAGTTTATGCTGCACTAAAATTAAGCACATATGTCAACATAGTAAGGAATCCATCATAGTTTAGACCTCTATATAGCCATAGTTGAACACAAGGATCTGCAGACCTTAAAGAAGATTTCCCCTCAAAGTTGCATTTGTTAATAAATGAAACTCAAGTGGATTTAGAATTCTCATTGACTTTGTGACTCCTTTTTTATGTTCAGTCAAAGGTAGAATGTGAACTCAGTTCTACCTTATCATGTGTTTGATGCAACAACCACTATGGTATGAGTATGTTCACAATAGTTTGAAGTTGGAGTTTCTATATCATTTTTGGGGGTGAAATTAACTATATTTCTTATAAATCCCCATTAAAATTGTGAATAGTGTCGAATTAACTAACAAACAAAGCATCTCCAGTATATTCTTCAGACCCGGCTATCTACATAGATGTTAACAGGTGCATGTGCCCTAAACCAAAAGTAATTTTGTGATATCCTAACAGTGTAAATAAAAAACAACCCACGAGTGACTCAGCCACATTCTTTGAACAAATGGAAATTAATATACTGGTTTAATCTGATATTGTAGTGCAAGGAATCCGATTTATCCATTCAGAGACGTAGTTTTTATTAGTCGGTCACCATGTTGAGGGTCAATCTGCTTGCATAGACCAATGAGACTAAGATGATTTGTATTACGTAGTATGTAGATATGCAAAATTATTACACGTATAAAATCAATTAAAATGTATAAAATAAAATGTATTGATTGACATGTCAATGTAAATCTAATCACCATTTCATTGTCCATGACAGATTTACAGTGCAGGATACATCATACTCTATTGAATACAAAAAATGTTCATTTCGATTGCTTCATGATTCATGATTCATGATTGCTTCATGATTATATCAAAAACATATTAACAGTATTACAAGAATGTAAGTCAACTACTAAGAAGTGTGGTAAAAAAGTTTTTAGCTTCTGAAAACTGTTAATTATTAATTTGTTTTCTGGGAAATGGACGTGAAACATTTCTGTTGCTTTATGTTTCTATATTTACATGTACATGTAGATTTGCTTTCATATGTATGGAAATAAATGCAATAATTTACTTTAGAATATGGTCTTGTTCTTTATTCTATCTTGCAAATTGACAATTCTCTATTCATATTTTCATTATCATTCCAGCGGTGTTTCTTTCAATCTTTGCAGATATGGTATTCAATATTGATAACAAATATTGTGGCCATGCTTTCAATAAAACGTTTTTGGCATAGTAAATTTTACTATTCAGACATATTATCCAAGTTTATTTTTACACTATTCAACTGTTACCAATATTGGATAAACACATGGGTCGGGCCATCACAATTTTAGCCCAAACTTTAATTTTAATGGTACGTATCTTGGTTGTCTGGAAAAAGTTGACGTCCTTGGGAATACCAATATGAGAAATCAATTCTCTCCCTCTTACTAGACAAGCACAGAGACTAGTTTTTTCCTTTCACATTGAGGCTGATTGGTTTTGTTTGTTGTAGCCATGTTTATTTGCCATTCAAAATCAAGTATTGTGAACTAGTTACAATGGAACCAGAGAGGGTGCAATCTTTGTCTTTGTATAATATATTTCTTGTATCATAAACTTATATAATGTGCATCAAATTGCTTTAAGATTATGATTTCAGATACAGGAGCTACACAAGCCCGGTGGTTTTCTGTTTAAAATGCTAATCTTAAATTTCTTGTTAATTTAAAATACTCACAATTGTACTTCATTACGCTAACTCGAACATTTTTCTATTCTTTTTCTATACTATGAACAACTTTCGAGCGACAAATATTTCTTCTCTCTTCTCGAAACTACTTTTGGACTTTCCACACATCTTGCGCAACATTCTATCTTCTCTGAGATAACGCCTCCCACACTCTCGAACATCTTACACTATACGAACATCTTACTATATACAATCGACATGAGTTTCATATTTTGCTTTTTAAATGCAATTTTTTACCCACCATGTTCTCTGAGTTGGAACAATATATTCACTATACATATATTTATAGAAATATAATAATACATCCCTGCAACAAAACATTGTAGATCTATTTAAAATTTTGAATTTAGGTTAGTTCTGAATATTATAAAGCTTGATATATAGGATATAAACGTGGCATTATTTGTTATTATCATAATTTTTGGCACCCATAATTTAGTTTTACATTGGTTTACAGTCTGCTAATACGTGTATATTAACCAGATATGTTTGGCATGGTGGCTGTTTTCCTTTTTTACTTTATTTTATTCAGCGAATAACGTATCTATTTATTGATCAAAAAACACGTCTAAGTCATGTCTGGTAGTATGTTGTGCTGTAGTTGTCTCCATCTACCTGGGTTATCCTAGGTTGACCAATTTACTCATGTTCAGTTGACGAAATATGGTATAATCTGTATGTAGTATATACAACTCTCAATTAACAATGCACTGTTACACACTCTTATATGTTACATGTAAGTCAGTCGAATTGTGTGGTGTATTTGAACAGCTGTAACAGTTTTATGTTGAAGCACAGTTTACTACGCACTACAGTTATCCAATAAGATATTTAAACAATATTTTCGAAAGAGGGCGCACACGATGAACACACTCCGTTGCTGATTAGTCGTGCCCAGGTACAAAATGGTTAATTTCCAAGACAATTACCGCTGGAATTGTGAAACAAATTGTTGAACATAGTGTATTGTATAGTCCATATTCTCCCAACTACCATTATACCTTGCATATGCGCATGTTCTAATTGAATATTTTTCAATCGAGCTAGTTACTCATGGAGTAAAGAAGCAACGCACACACATTTTGCTATCAGTAGACATTATATGGAGATGGCCTCTGGACTTTTATTCGAGAAAGGTGGAACCAATTTTGTTAGATTAGTCCAAACCTACACAAGGCACTCATACACATCAGTTGAGCGGATTTAATAAGTGGTGCGTTTTCTCATGGCATTGTGCCAAAAACGAATAATACACAATGTTGTTAGTTTGCCCTGGGTAACGTTTATAGTTTGTGCTTCGACAAGTGATTTACGGAGGAGTAAACATTACTATATTTAATTTGATCCCCTAAATAATTTCCCAATATACAAACAAAATTATCTAATTAATCACAAAGCTGAAACGGCGTACAAATACAACACTAACGGTTCTCCCTGACAACAAACAACTCAAGAGTAAATAACCCAAGTTATGTGGCTGAATATAATATAAAGCAGAAACATGTCACAACATTTGCGTCACTGTAAACAATACTGCTCATTTGTACAGAGCAATATATTGCATTCTGGTTAGTGTAAATAAGAGTCAGGCGAGTGGTTCCGTCATTAGCAAGGGCTTCTATAATACAAATTTAAATCAACGAGATGGAATATGACTTCCTTTAACTTGAAATTGAACGCATCTTCGTGTTGTAATATAATATTCTCACATCTAGAAAACAAAGACTGTAAGGAGCTTAATCAGCGTTGATCACTGGTACTAAAGGCCGGGGAAGTGGTTTGATAAGAGTATCATAATCTTTAAGTTTTTAAGGACACTAGAATTAAGATATAAGAAAATAAATGTCTAAATACATTCTTGTGGTGCAGTATGACGCACCACTTATAACCAAGCCTACACTCCCCGACAATTCAGCCAAAGTACAAACAATTGATCGTTGAACCTATTGTTCGATTTATTTATCTCGTATGGCTAAATGCCAACACAGACCACCTGACCACGCATACCACCCACTAGAAACAGTGCGAACTGTGCTACGGAATAAAAACCTATCTATCTCAGAAAGTACCGTTCTGGTGTAATTTAGAAACTGAGATCGGTACTTTTTTTTCCCGCAGCAGGAATTATCGACTGACTGAATTATTATATAAAGCAGCGAGGATCTATATGGAAGACACCGTTGAACGATTTGGCACTCATTTGTTGTCCAACTCCTTTACTGGTTAGAGACTGACGGATGGTGGCTTACGTCGTGATGGATATCGTTAATGAAAAGCGTTGTATGTCTACGAGCCGAGATATTTTCATTTGTTCTACGAGTTTAACTACTTTTTACGAATTGACCAGCTTCCGTTACAAATATTACCATGATTGCAGTGACTGTGGATAACTTATTACCATAACAGATTATGAACTGTACTGAACCCGTTGTTCTTTTTAATAGCATACTAGAGCGAAGACAATGGATAACTATGACAAAGACATGTTCATCAGCTGGGAATTCTGGTTATCTAGTATAACTTGATTGAATCCATACAGTCAAAGAATGGATTCCTGGTTGTAGAGTGCATTTTTCACCGTAGGTGGCAGTATACAAAAAATCACGTGATAAATACAGTCCGCCATATTGGATATAACTTGGATTTACTAGACTTTTGAAAACAGAATATCGAATAACTCTTTAATTGAACGAATTATTATATCTTTTAACATCAGAAAATCTAACCTGACCGTAAGTATTTACATGAAATGTTAACGAGCCTGAAATATATCACACCGAATAAATATCAATGTTTTTTTTAAAGACAGAATCATTCTTATATTCGTTGAAAATGCTACAATTAAAGAAACTATAAAATCTGAATTAAAACCATCCACTATTTGTTTTTGAAAATATATGTTCGGCGGTAATGTATACATATTTTAATGATACATTGCTTATTTATTTCTTGATTTAAAATCGGAATTTCAGTATAGCTTTGTGGGTGGGTTGCATGCGTAATCTCTAATACAGAATAAACATGTCTAGCTTTTGATAAACACAAAACTTTACTTTCTTGATTTGACCTTGTACTTTATTAAATGAGTTTATAAGTTGTTTGTATGTTGCTTTATGTCCTTGGATTTGACTCTTTTCTTGATCTTTTACAATTTTTGCAGGGAACAAGAAGCTTTAGCACTGGTCGATATATGCAGTAACAATTCTATCTTGCTCGCAAGATGTTTAACACAGGAGCAACCACACAGGTATCCCAAGTATTTACTTGTCATTGAAATAAATATCATTATAATGTGTTCCATATTTACCTCTCGGGTAACATAATAAACACTGTTTGAATCACTGAAAAACGCATGCTATCAATTCAAATTTCTGTTTCAAGGAAACAGAACAACCTATCCCCGATCAGCAAAGAAGGACCTTATTTAATATATACCATAGAAGAACTGTAACTCATCATGATACCAGAACATCTTCTGAGGTAGGAGCACTTAACAACATTAGATTACATCACAGGTATCCTGTACTGACTTTCAAAGATGCAATGCATTGTGCTATGATATGATACAAATGAAAGCTGAAACAGAGAAATTTCTCACAATATTAAGACGTTAAGAAAGTGCACCAAAGCAGAAATATAACCGAAAAATTATGTCTCATTGAAAATATTTGGTAATCATTGTCCTAAGTAACTATTCAAAATAGCGAGACGTTTCAGGAAATGACTTTCTAACAATAGTCCACATGTTTCTATACATTATTTAACTGCCAAACCACTGGTGTATAATTGCAGGTTAATCATATGCATTTCTTAATTTATGCAATTGGCAACACTAGAACACCTGTCTTGAATTGGCGGGAAATATATATGTTAACTTCTAGAGTATTCATTCATTGAACATTTGAATCTAAATATAGTGCTGTAGGTGTGTGTTGCATGAGTCTTATCATATGCAATCTAGACATGTCATAATAATCTTGGAATTCTACAATGTTCTCGAATGTGACCCTCTTTCGCTTTTACACTTTTTGCAGGAAACAAGAAGCCCTAACACTGGTCAATATATGCAGCAGCAGTTCTGCCTTGCTCGCGAAATATTTCAAGAAAGAGGCACTGCAAACGCATCACAAGTATGTATTTGTCATTGAAATAGGTATCAATATGAATTCATTAATGTGTTCCTAAATTACATTTCGGTGACATAATAAACACTGTTTGAATCACTGAAAAACAAACGTTACCCCTCTAATTTCAAGGAAACAGAACGACCCAACATTGATCAGCAAAGAATCGACTTATTTAATATCTACCACAGAAGAACTGTAGCTGCTCATAATTGCAGAACATATTTTGAGGTAGGAGCACTTAACAACATTAAATTACATCACAGGTATTGTACTGACATTCAAACATGCCATGCATTGTTCTATGATATGATACAAATGAAAGCTGAAACGAACATATTTCTTACAATATCCAGATGATAAACAAATGCACCAATACAATTATATACAGCCTATACATTGTATCTTATTATCATATTATAACCATGTATACAATAGTAAAGTTATTGCACTGTAATTACATGCATGTGTTTTTTTCTATTTACAGGAAGATGAATATGAGGTTCATTCACCAAACACTGCCACCAATGACCAAAGCTGCCAGAGAATGCAAGATAACACACTACTGATAAATATTCAATCTGAAATGTATGTGTACATATATAAGGACTAGCATATGTGATGTAGTGAATCTCTTCAATAAAGTGTAATATGTGTAATTAATGCGTATTTTTGCCCAATTTCTTGTTATATTATAATTAGTCTAGTGTGTGAGCTAATGTGATTGAGGCAGAGGAAATTATCACAACTCCCAAAATATGCCACATAGATTTTTGTAGGAAATTCTGTTTTTGATAGCCAAGCTTATTTTTTTCACCTGTATGGTTCTAGTCCACCTTTATTAAACTGTTTATTTAATAAAAAGTACACTAATTTTCTTCTCATTTTTGATAAAAAGTGATATATTTGACTTTTTATATAACTTATACCCTCTTTATATAATTATCGATTTCATATTATTTCTCTTTTTTTTTTATCACAGATGAGCGATTCTGATTAGAAAAAAAAGTGTGTATTGACTTTTCGATGTTACTCGTTTTTTCTTATTTTTTATTATAATCGAATACTTATCCGCATTTGAAAATGTATACTTTATATATTCAAAATGTCTTTTTTTATTCTTATATTACTCTGTTTTTAATCCATTCTTTTTTATTATTTACTCAAACAAAAAACAAAACAAAAACAAAACAAAAACAAAATGTATACTTTATATATACTCTATATTTCAATTACCCAGTTTTTAATCCATTCTTTTTGATTATTTATTCATTAGTAGTTTTACCCTTCTTTGTGTAATAAACTCCGTTAGTTTTCAAAATGACGTGTATTGATTAGCGTGTGTGCGTGTGTGTGAGCGCCCTCTACGATATATTCTGAAAAATTTTGCGTGACGTCCACGCCCGTCCAATTAAAAATTAAAAAAACATTCAATTAAAAAAAAATAATTAAAAAAAAAAAAATTAAAAAAAAAATGATGGTAATTTATGCAAATGTATTCACGATGACCTCGACACGATCTCGTATTCACATTCATTTTATGTATGCAAATGTATTTACAATATCCCATTGTGACGTCATCCTCATTGGAATTAACCCTTTACGGCCATGGTCGCTCATTTATGCTAATTTATGCACGAATTCCCATTGTGACGTCATTATTTATGCTAATCTATGCACGGTTCCAATTGTGACGTCAACTCACCCTGTATGACGTCATCGCATCCGAGTATGAACAGCGCCCTCATGTGGTCCCTATAGTACGACTTAAACTAATGGCTACTTGCTATAATTTGTAATTCAAACAGCTAGTGGGTTGGTGTTTTTTTTTAAATTGTATTTGTGACTTTGTCTAAAAAATTAACTAAGCATTCTGTAGTACGTAGTTTCCATTACCAATAAACAACAGTAATAAAGCGTCGTAATTATCGATTTCTAAAAATTCGTAGTCCATGTAGGATAATGTCCGGTGATAAAATATCCAGATTATAATATTTGCGTATTCACTGCCATGCTTATAATATTTTTTTTTTCTTAATTTCCCGCCTTATTATGACGCCGTTGACTGGGCACATATTAAATCTAGACTACTGCCTTCTGATATAATGTTAGTTATTGGCTTCTGGAATCATGTTATTTATATTGAATATCAGCGTTTCAGCCAATCGAGATGACTGTAACAACGACGCCTCTGCAAATATACGTGATTGACAGACTTTAGTACAAAGGTCAATGTTTTACAATGCGTTGCTGTTCACGGACGATTCTTAACCACAGTGAATACCATCGTTTCAGCAACCAATCGTATTGAATGTACTATTAAGATAGAACAGATCTGCTGATTGGCTTTTACTGATATGAAGTTTTCAATTCGTTGATGAGACAATATCGCCAGCCATAGGTCAGCAGCGACACCATGGCAGTGAGCATTGATTCAGGAAATGGGACTGACACAGACCAGAGACATGGACAAGTCTTCTAGGTCAGGTGACACAAATCTTACTACCTGTTGACCCCTGTCATGACCGCAATATCTGAGTACATGTTCGTGCATGTGTAAGCCATTCCCCTGGTATTTGATAGAGATCGAATAGGGGTGGTTCAGTAAAACTGAGCATTTCATTAGAATAGGCATGACTGTCTAGCCATAACCAGCAAGACAATATAAACATAATGGCAAACAACCAAAGAATGAGACATTAAAAGATTTATTCTGGTTCACCGCGTCATTTTTTAATTACACTTTTCGTAGTTTTTCTTTCCTAAATTTCACTCTGACACTGACTTACTTGGTTTGGGGGCTAAAACGTATCTCTTTGTTTGCCAGTGATTTTAATATATTTCAGATAATATGTAGTTCTTACTATTTATGGAGTGTTTATAGAGGTCAATTGTGGGTGACGATTCGTAATGTGGTTTGTTGACCAACAATTATGCTTGAAACCTAGCAACTATGCTACTGTTCGTTGTTACCGATAAGCTATTCAAATCCCTATACCCACATTGTATTCTGCCGGTGTGGGTGCGGGTTATATATATTGAATTATAATACATGTTAACGCCATTATTGTAATGTTAATGAAGGTGCACAATACCCAGATACAATATAATACGCCGTCAGGGTATGGAGACTACTGTTTCAGACGTGTATACCTGTTACATCTGGCCAGTCAATTGACTATTAATTTGAGATTTCTGGAAAAGTCTATCACATTTTGAGTGAATGGCAGTAACGCAATAAATTACAAGCAGTGGTTAGAATGTCCACTGCATGTTGATGTTTTCAGAATAAAAAGACGACTTTATTAATCTAAACGTGTAATTAATTTTTATTATTTGGGTTCGGAGCTTGGTCTGCGCATGCTACCAGTTTTTGTCGATTGAGGGCGTCGTGTTGTGACGGTTTGCGTCCGTATATTTCCCAAACAGACTTTGAAAGTATTATATTGATGTTAGGAGAAGTATATTTGCCCTTTCTGATAAATAATTCGTAACATTTACACACATCCATGTGCTTGCATGTAACCTTTAAACCTGAGTATGAAAACTAGTGTAAAATATTGTTTTATTCTGTACAAATGTTTATTTGTTGTAGTTGAAATTCGCCAATAAATTTGAATAAAAAATAAAATGAAAAAGAAACATTGCAAAGCACATGTGGATATATTGCATTATAAAAACAACTGTTGCGCGCACTAAATATAATGTTGATATAGATAGAAACACTATTACTGACTTGGAAGTCCGTCCATTCAATATACCACTCTGTAGTACAGAGCTGTTTGCAAAAGATGAATACATTTTATAAAATAATCCTGCATCACATTGTATTAATTTTTATTAAGCAGTTAAAGGAAACTGATCAATTCCATGAGTTACAACAGAGCCCCTATCAATCAATTTTCATAAAAATCGGACGAGTGGTTACTAAGATATCTGTGGTCATGTATGTGTTATACATAAAATATTTGTAATGCCAAAAATTACCAGTTTGTTTCACAGTAGATTTCTGTGAATATGATAATTAATAATGCCTAAGATATACAGGTCATACATTTTGTAGGCTAACATTAATATAGGGAATATTGAAGAGCACCAAGGCAAAATTAATGAGTAATTGTCTTGTTGTCCTTGTGAAGTTCAAGCCTTTTAGCTATGCATAACAATCCCATGACCAAAATTGGCATCTGAGTATAAGTCACATTCCTTGTCTGATGACTTTTATATAGCACCGGTTGCGTGTGCCTGCCTATGATTTATGCGTATTGATAACTATTATTATGACCATATAATCGCCTCCATCGAAATTAAATAACCAAAGCTTGTGACTAGCGCCCTTAATAGTGGAGAGAGTATAGTTTGAATACCCAGGTGATAAGATTCCCAATAGAAATAAAAAAACATATGCAGTTTATAACTAAACCTTGCAATGGAACAATTTTGTAAGCTAAGGATCAAAGTTCCATATGTCAAATATAAATAATAAAGTGTTAAAGGCTGTCTTGATTTTACTCACTGTCATTGCAGACAAGGCTTAATATTAATGCTGATCTGAGCAAATTGTAATTCAGGTGTATGGCAACCAGAAAGAGATTTTTAGTCAGAGCTTTTAAGCTAAAAATATTCCTTTAGTGATCTTGGTTAGGATCTAGAATTACCTGACAACAAACTGAGATTCATCGATGTTGTTGATTTCAAATCAAGTTGGAATATATTGTGTGGGTTGTGCGATGACATCGACATGTAGTACGCTTGGACAGTAGTCAAATAATAAGCCTTAAGCATAAAGTGGCATGTGACATGAGATTCTCTACTGAGGGAAACATGCCCAACGTGCTCGTAAAACGTATGTGCCTTATAAGCCATTAACAAGTATTCGAATATCTTGCATGCTGTCTAAGAAACACATCTCTTAAAATGGAAAATGCACATGTGAGTGATAATGGCATTATTTCGTCACAGATGAATGCATATCTAAAAAGAGTAGATTATAAATTGCGGTTTATAGTTATTACAACTGTTAAATTCATCTATTAAAGTGCTTGACTTCTTGCCGGCGAGGTTTAATCACCTAATTTGGATCCGAAGCATTTTCTACTCTAAAAATGAAAATAATAATAAATGTACGTGTTAGAAACACTAGAAAATGTGTTCTTACAGATATAAAAAATTATAAAGTTGTGATCAGATTCTTGCACATTGCAATTGATCATTAGATAAAATGCTTGTGCAAATACAATGTGTTTATTGGCTGTGAAGACTTGTTTTATAGTGTTTCAGACTTATTCCATGTGGAAATGAAATTGAGATATACAGAATAGAATGATGTAGTATTAAAAACAGAATCATATCCATGTATAATCTATGTTAATGAAATTGATAAATATATTACATATATTCTGCTTTGCATATGCACTTTTTAAAGTCAGCCATTCTTTTTCACAAATGTTTACAAAGATGGATGTGCGCAGTGTATACACGACGACCACACCGTGATTGTATAATGAGTTTACAATGAGACTGTGGAAGAGTTCGCAATTGGATGCACGCTGATCACACAGTAATATTGTTTATTTCAGCTCGCATAGAGCATACAGAAAGTACGCGAAAAAG